CCTAGATTCAGAGGGAGCGGAGGAAAGTAGAATCTCCACTGAGTAGTATCCAATCTGTCTAGGCTGGGCCTATGAAAGGAGATGTGGATAGGTCTCTTTCGATACAATGGTAAATAATTGTTATCAGGACTGATTGTAAGGGCTGGAAATGTAAAGGTATACGTTCTGTGGCAAAGGGAAGGGAGTGATTAACTTTGCAGTCTAGGAGCGGCAGTCCCTGGGACCATCAAGGGAGAAGAGCGGAGAACAGAACCCTACCCAGAGAAGGAGTGATGCCAGAGATGGAGGCAGAGATGATGACGTGGAGAGATGGAGCGGCTGGGGACTTTGGACCTGGAGAGAGAGAGGGGCTGTGTGCTGACGACCGGAGAGTGGGGGGCAGTGTTGCGGGGTGTACCCTGTGGCTGGTGGATGATACAATGGAGGGGATTGTAACCATGGCAAGGAAACGATATATGATGAGATCAATATGAAGCTAATGTTCTCTCATGTAAACTATCACATAACTCACAATAAAACATTAAAAAATAAATAAAAAATCAGATGAATTCCTTTATACTAATAAAGAGAGCTATGAAAAGGAAATCAGGAAAATATAATTTACAGTAGCTATACAAAAGATGAAATACTTGGGAATAAATATAACCAGAGAAACAAAAGACTTATAAAGACAACTACAAAATACTACTACAAGAAACCAAAAGAGACCTGAAGAAATGGATAAGAAGACTTAACATTGTGAAAATGTCAACACTACCCCAAACAATCTATAGATATAATGCAATCCCAATACAGATTCCAACATTATTCTTTAAAGAGATGGGATAACTAATGACTAACTTCATATGGAAAGGAAAGGGATTGAACATAAGAAAGCGTTCCCGAAAAAGGTCAAAGCAGTAGGGCTCTCATGTCCTGATCTCAACACCTAATACACAGCCACAGTAGTCAAAACAGCATGGTAAAAGTACAACAAAAGACACATAAATTAATGGAACAGAATTGAGAACCCGGATGTAAGTCTATCCACCTAGGGTCAGTTGATCTTCAACAAAGGACCAAAATACATTAAATGAGAAATAGGTTCTTCAACAAATAGTGCTGGCAAAACTGGAAGTCCATTTGCAGAAAAATAAAACAAGATCCAAATTTCACACTATATACAATAACAAATTTAACGTGAATTAAAGGCCTAAATGTAAAACCTAGAACTGTAAAGATCATCAATGAAATATTAGGGGAAAGCTTACCAAAGCTTACCGGTCACACTATGAGTGGGAACTTAGTCCATGGCACTTAACAACAATAACAGAGGGTAGACATGCTAACTTGGGGATGGGACAGAGGAGAGATGAAGGTAGTGAAAGACCCAGGGAGGAATGCGAGAGTTTAAGTGATGGTTTGTGACATTTGCAATTATTATAATGAATCGAAGTATATGATTTGTTGAATGTAAAACTGATGATCTGCTGTGTAAACCTTCACTCAATTCACAATAAAAAGTTAAAAGAAAAAAAAGGAATATGTACCTACTAAGGAGCTCTGGTGTGGCGCTGTGGGTTAATGCGCCAGACTGCAAAGCTGTTTGAACTGCAAGGTCGGCTGTTCAAGCTCACCAGCTGCTCCTCGGAAACCCTATACAGGGTCACTATGGGTTGGAACCAACTCGACGGCACTTCACAACAACAACAACAACAAAGGAGCTCTGGTAGCATACTAGTTAGGAATCAGGCTGCTAACCTCAAGGTCGGCAGTTCGAAACTACCAGCTGTTCCGTGGGAGAAAGATGAGGCTTTCAGCTCCCATAGAGATTTGCAGCCTCAGAAACCCTGTGCAAGGTCCTCACATGAGTCGGAACTGACTCCACGGTACTTAACAACAAAGTGCTGTTACACCATCCTGGTTTGGTGTTACGGGATAAACACTGGACGGTAAACTGCAGGGCCAGAGGTTCAAACCAACAAACTGCTGTGAGGAAAAAAGATAAGGCTCTCTACTCCTGTCAAGATTTGTTGTTATTTATAAGTGTCATCGAGTCGGACATAGTGACCCTGTTCAGGGTTTCCGAGGAGCAGCTGGTGAGTTTGAACCGCGAAACTTGCGGTTCTGTGCTGATCAGACAACGCCACACCAGGACTCCAAATCCTATAGGATGGCTAGAGTCGGAATCAACTGGATTGCAATAGGTTTGGGGTGTTTTTTTGGGGGGGGCGGGGGGAGAGGCGGGGTTGGAGGATAAGGTGGTACTGAAAATTCTAAGGTTTTTTCACAGGGCACAAAAAAAGGGGTTCAAGGGAAGGGATGAAAAGCCAGGAGAGGAAACGATAGAAATGGATCATGGAAAAGTAAAGAGAGGACAAATGAGGAGAGACAGGGGAGCGGTGAATTCTTAAGAAAAGTCTTGCAGGCCAGACCAGGAGAGAATATGGTGACTCTTTCCTAACTGCAAATCGAAACTCCAGACTGGACAACCAAAGCACAGACGTGAAACCCACCAGACCGCAACTACTGGCAGAGCTGGTCCTCAGCTCTACCCTCGGCCCCCTGGCGTGGCTCGGTGGGGGCGGGACCTTCGGCCGCTCCCGCGGGTTCGCCCCACGCTGGGTGGGAGGGCCCTTCCCCGCCCCGCCCCTCAGCAGGCTCCCGCTTGCCTAGCCTTTGGCTGGCGTCCGGGGCCCACTTAGTAGGAACCACGCGCTCAGCCGCAGGAACACCGAGGCCGGCTGAGCACGATGGCTACGTGGAGGCGGGACAGCCGGCTGACTGGCAGCCAAAGGCTGCTGTGTGCTGGTCTGGCGGGGACACTCAGTCTTAGTCTCACCGCGCCCCTGGAGCTCACCACCGTGCTGTCCCAGGTCGGCGCCATGCGCGGCCACGCCCGCGGCCCGTGGGCTATGGGGCTCTGGGTGTGGCGGACTCAGGGGCCCCGGGCCCTCTGGAAGGGGAACGGGGTGGCATGCCTGCGCCTCTTTCCTTGCAGCATCGTGCAGCTGGCCTCCTACCGCAAGTAAGAGCCGGGTGCGGGTGCGGGCGAGCGGGGCCGGGGTTCCGCGGGATATTCCGCGGACCGCGGCTGCCCTGCTTCTGAGGGCCTGGCCCTTTAGTGGTGTCCAGAATCCTACGGGATTACATGGGAGCCCCTTGGAGAGGTTTGGCCACCAAAGTGCAGTTGCAAAGTTTTGCAACTTTTTTTTTGTATGTGTGTGTGTCTGCGGTTTCACCCCACCAATGGGCATTCTAAACCAAATTCAATCTCTGTTGTTGTTAAGTGACATCGAGTTGTAGTGGAGTTGATTGTGTTGTTGTGAAGTGCCATCGAGTCGGTTCCGACCCATAGCGACCCTGTATAGGGCTTCTGAGGAGCAGCTGGTGAGCTTGAACCGCCGACCTTGCAGTTCAAATGGTGTTGCAGTCTGGCGCATTAACCCACAGCGTCACACCAGGAGTTGATTATAGTGACCTATATTGTTAAATGGAGTACTGGTGTGACGCTGTAGGATATGCACAGGACTGACTGCAAGGTCAGTGGTTGAAACTCACCAGCCGCTCCTCAGAAACCCTATACAGGGTCACTATGAGTCAGAACCGACTCGACAGCACTCGGCCAACAACATTGTTGTTAAAGGAGTTCTGGTTGTTGATGCTAAGTGCCATTATGTCGTTTCCGACGCATAGCGACCCTATGTAGGGTTTCCGAGGAGTGGCTAGTTGGCTTGAACCGCCATCCCTGCGGTTCAAACCGACCTTACGGTCCAGAGCTTACCCTACAGCGCCACACCAGGACTCAGATTGTAGTGGGTTACAAACTGGGCTGCTAACTGCAAGGTCACCAGTTGCTCCACGGGAGAAAGATGAGGCTTTCTGCTTCTGCAAAGATTTACAGCCTTGAACCCCTATACCGTGCACACAACCACCAATCAACCATGTTGTTAAGTGCACTGGAGTCACTTCCGACTCACCAGAACCCTGTGTAAGATTCCAAGGAGTGGCTGCAAGGTTTGAATGCAGAGTTTGCAGTTAGCAGTTAAGTGTTTATTGGTGCTGTATAGGGTCACTATGAGTCGGAACTGACTCCACGGTATATAACAACAACAACAGTAACAAGTTAAATGTTGACTTGTTATCCCACCAACCCCCTGCTTGCAAAAGATGAGGCTTTCTGCTCCTGCAAAGATTTACAGTCTCAGAAACCCTATATAGAGTCTCTATGAGTCAGAACCGACTTGATGGCAGTGAGTTTAGTTTTGCTCTGGGATTTATAGGACTTGTTGGGCTGCTAACTGCAAGGTCAGCGTTCAAATCCAACAGTTGTTCTACCAGAAAGATGAGGCTTTCTTTACTCCCATAGAGATTGATAGACTTTGAAACCCTTTAGAGGGTCACTGTGAGTTGAACCGACTGGAAAGCACTTAACTACAGCAACAACAAGCAGGATTTCCAAGGCTATAAAGATTTACAGCCATAGAAACCCTAGGGAACAGTTCTACTCTTCTGCCCTGTAAGGTTGCTTTCAGTCAGAATTTACTCCAAGGCAGTGGGGCTTATTTTATTTTTTTGTTTGTAAAATCTTTACAGAATAGGATGCTGGTGGTACTATGGGTTAAGCATTGGGCTGCTAGCAGCAAGGTCAGCAGTTCAAATCCACCAGCTGCTCTGGGAAGAAAGATGAGGTGGCCTGCTCCTGTAAAGATTTATAGTCTCAGGAACTCTGAGTCCACTCTTCTGTGTTCAGTAGAGTTTCTGTGAGTCAGAATCTACTTCATAGCTTTGGGTTTGGGTTTTATGGTTTTATAAGATAGATAGAACTGTTCCACAGGGTTTTTACAGAAACAGACAGCCTTATGTTTTTCCCTTATGTGGATCCAAACCAATAACCTTTCCGTTAGCAGCCCAGTGCTTAACCACTGCACCACAGGACTCTTATTCCATAAAGATTTATAGCCTTGAAAACCCTATGGGGTACTTCTACTCTGTCCTATGGAGTGACTGAGTTGAAATCAACAACAAAGGTTTTATGCTATTGTTTCGGTGCAGTTGAAAGGAACCTTTTAGTAGTGTAATGGTTAAGAGTGCTGCTAACCAAAAGTTTGGTGGTTCAAACCTAGCCAGTCCTTCAGGAGAAACACCTGACCATCTGCTCCCATAAAAATTACAGCCTAGAAAACTCTATGGGATGGTCCTATTCTGTTACATGGGGCCGCTATGAGTCAAAATCTACTCAAATCACTTGATAGCACCTGACTACAATAATAGGTGCCGTTTTTGTGGAGTTAAGACTAGTTGACCCAGAGTGGCCTGCCGAACTGGATAGTCTAAAAGGTGGAATGAGGGGAAAGGGGAGCTGAGATCGATGAAGACACGGCGCCTATCCATTCCCATCTTTAGCAATTTGAAAACAGTGTGCTTTGGCTGACTGGGGAGGAGACTCTTATGAAGGTATGTCTCTCTCTCTGGGTGACCAAAGGCCACAGAAGCAAATGCTCTGTAGGGGGAGAGGACCCATCCCATTGATATAAGTCTCTAGTCCCCAAAATAACCAACATGAAACCGCTTGTCTTGGAGTCCGTTCCAACTCACAGTGATGCCATGTGAGTCAGGGTCGAACTGTGCTTCCGAGGCTTTTCAATGCCTGCTTTTTCGGAAACAGATCACCAGGTCATTCTGAGGCACACTTACCTGTTTACACCACCAAAGGACTCCTCTCTACCCTCCACCACCGCCTACAGGAAGTCTGACTTTTCCCCAAACTGCTCAAAATCCCTTCAATTTACTGCCTCACTCACTCATAACTGCCCACTGGCCACATTCTTTGGGAAAGATCTAAAAATTAAGATGCAAATGTGGTAGAGCTTTAAAGCTTCTTTCCCAACTCAGAGAGATTTGCATTTTAACTGGAATTTGCATTTGCAATGGAATTTCAGGAAGAGAAGATTTTTATACTGGGGGGTGGGGTGGGGTGGTCCCTGTGTCCCTCGTTCAGTGGGCACAGTGCCAACTCTGAAGACTGGCTTTGGCTCTGAATTAGGCAAATAGCTCCCGGTCAGGAGAACTCGTCTTAACTAATAGTTAACGGATTTTGCTTTTAAGCTTCTCTTTGGAGGCCAGAGCTGGAATGCCCACTTGGCACCTGACAAGCCTAATGCGATTATCCTTGTCATTGAATCCTCTCGGTTAACTGGTAACCATAAGGTTGGCAGTTCAAACCCACCAGCTGCTCTGTGGGAGAAACATGAGGCTTTCTGCTCCTGTCAAGATTTACAGCCTCAGAAATCTTACACAGGGTCACTATGAGTTGGAATCAATTCTGTGGCAGAAGGTTTTCCTTCCTCTGCATAGGGAAGGTAGTATTTAAGTTTTCAAAGCTGTCTTCCCTCTCCAGCCTACCCTTGCCCTCAGTAACATCTGACCTGCAATCTGTGCAATTCTCTGGGTTTGAGTGACTCACCTGCCCTCCATGACACCTGCTTCTCCACAAAGCCAAACCAAATCAGTTGGGTTTTCAAAGCTGTGGCCTTCCAGAAACAGATCACCAGGCCTTTATTCCAAGGCACCTCTGGGTAGATTTGAACTACCAGCCTTTTGGCTTGTAGTTGAGCACTTAACCTTTTGTATCCACCAGGGACTACTCTTTTCCACAAAGGTGTATCATGGTGGGTGGAACAAGCAGCATCTTAAGATTGATTTAAGTATTGTGGCTTTTCTACTAACTGCCATATACAAAAGTTAGTCAAAATGCATTGCTACAAAATCATAGAACCCTTTATTTAAAACAATATCAAAATGTGAACCTACTGTTTGTCCACATAGCCTCCATCTAAGTCTATACACATTTGGAGGCAGTGGGTTTCCATCTCTCTAACCCTGGTTTATGGACTTCTGGTATGGTGTAGGAATAACAACACTGTGCTGAGAACCACAAGGTCGGCAGTTCAAACTCACCAGCCACTCCTCGGAAGCCCTATACAGGGTTGCTAGGAGTTGGAACCAATTCGGCAGCGTGTAACAGCAACAACAACCCTGGTTTGGCACTGTAGAATAAACACTGGACTGGTAACCACAACACCGATTGTTCATATCTACCAGCCACTCTCAGAAGTACTATATAAGTCAAAACAACAGTTTGGGCGTCCTCCAGGGACTCAAATCCTGTTCTTTTTCAATGTTCTTTGAGTTTGAGGAACAAAAAGAAGGCTAAAGGGGCAAGATCAGGGCTGGAGGGTAGATGAGGTAACGTTTCCCAATGCAATTCTCATAAGACAGTCCTTGCTACCTTCAAACAATGAGCAGGTGTATTGTCACAATGGAAAATAAATTCCTTGGTGCAACTTTCCTGGCCTTCTTCTCACCGATGCAGTTTCAGTTTTCTTAAAACTTTTTCAAAAGAATCCCCTGTGATCTTTCTGTCCTTTGAGAAAGTCTATTAAGAGTACCCATTAGGAATCCAAAAACACATTTGTCATAACCTTCTGAGCTGACCTCTCTGCCTGAATTTAACTGGCCCATCAGATCCCCTCAGAAGCCACTGTTTGATTTGACATTATTTTTTGAAGGCAGCCTAAGGAGACTGAGAGAACTTGTCTGCAGCCATCCACTGATCACAGAGACATATCAAACACATTTAGAAAAACCTCATGCATGTGTGAACTAGAACTCTAGTAGCAATACTTTTTGACTGACCCTCTCACACACATACGTGTGTGTGTGTGTTTTGTTAGCTGCCATTTTAGACGTTCCCTTCCTCAAGACAACCCGATACACAATGAAACAACACACTCCTGGTTCTGATCCTGCACTATCCCCCTGATTACTTGCGGATTGGATCATTGTGATCTATAGGTTTTTTTTTCTTTTTTTGAATTCCTGCTTTGTTTTTTGGGTTTTCTTTTGAGGGGGGTAGGAGTCTGAGCTAGGACTATGGCTAGGTCTAGACTAGGGTCTAGGACGTCATTTAGTGTTAGGGGTAGGGACTGGGTTAGGGCTAGGAGTAAGGCTTGCTCTTGTTTCAAG